ACTGATCTCAAAGAATGCTGGGCACACACACAGATGCTCTATTTCCTGCAGCAAATCTTACTTTGCCAGTATCACATTGGCTGTACAGATGTTGACTTTCCTCTCGTGTCATTTCTTTCCAGATCCAAACTTAATTCCAAACTGTCACCACTTACATATATTGTATCATCTAGCACTATTTTCAGTCAGCGCTAATTCATAAATGGTCTCCATTCTGATGGGTGTTCTGTCCAGGAAGTGTTCCTGCCACTGTCACTTTTGTAGCCAGATCATCTGCTCATTCACTGTCTCGCCCTCATGCATGTCCTGGTCAGTATCTCAAGCTGAGTCCCTGTAATGCTGACATTTTGATGCCTGGTACCGACTCATGTCACATTCTGATGCCTGGTACCGACTCATGTCACATTCTGATGCCTGGTACCGACTCATGTCACATTCTGATGCCTGGTACCGACTCATGTCACATTCTGATGCCTGGTACCGACTCATGTCACATTCTGATGCCTGGTACCGACTCATGTCACATTCTGATGCCTGGTACCGACTCATGTCACATTCTGATGCCTGGTACTGACTCATGTCACATTCTGTTGAGTGGCACCGACTCATGTCACATTCTGATGCTTGGCACCGACTCATGTCACATTCTGATGCCTGGTACAGACTCATGTCACATTCTGTTGAGTGGCACCGACTGATGTCACATTCTGATGCTTGGCACCGACTCATGTCACATTTTGATGCTTGGTACTGACTCATGTCACATGCTGATGCTGGCCACTGACTCCTGTCATATTCTGTGTGGGATGTCATGGACCTGAAACTAACTCCTACTTGTATTAGTCACTTTAACATGGAGGTCTAGGTGGTGGGGGTGAGGGAGAAGACGAGTTCACCCGTTGAATTATATTCCCCTGTTGAACCATGTTCCCCTGTTGAATCATGTTCACCTGTTGAATCATGTTCACCTGTTGAATCATGTTCACCTGTTGAATCATATTCACCTGTTGAATCATGTTCACCTGTTGAATCATGTTCACCTGTTGAATCATGTTCCCCTGTAGAATCATGTTCACCTGTAGAATCATGTTCACCTGTAGAATCATGTTCACCTGTAGAATCATGTTCACCTGTAGAATCATGTTCACCTGTAGAATCATGTTCACCTGTTGAATCATGTTCACCTGTTGAATCATGTTCACCTGTTGAATCATGTTCACCTGTTGAACCATGTTCACCTGTTGAATCATGTTCACCTGTTGAATCATGTTCACCTGTTGAATCATGTTCACCTGTTGAATCATGTTCCCCTGTTGAATCATGTTCCCCTGTTGAACCATGTTCACCTGTTGAATCATGTTCACCTGTAGAATCATGTTCACCTGTAGAATCATGTTCAAGGATGGGAACATCCCCTGTTAGCTACTATCAACATCTCTGAGATGTGCAACCAGACAAACATCAAACATTGAGAGCTTACGTAGTTGTTGTAAATCATCTTGATGTACTTCACCCTCAGATCCTCTACGCCATCATTGATCATGTCGATATAGGCAGCCTCTTCCAGGCCGCTACCATACAGATCTACAATCATTCATGTTTCATAATCAGAAGATATAAACATACCAGTGTAACAGTTATAACAATCCTGCAAATAATTCAAAACTCATACAGATGGAAAATGATCAGTGAATGTAGATGGGAAAAAATACACATTTTGGAAAACACACAAGAGAAACAATAAAGTAACAAACACACAGAAAAGAAAGTGTACACTTGGTCTGATCATATTGGGAAAGAGAAAACTTCGTATCAAAAACATCAACAGAAAAACTAAAAGAATGACGTCCCTTAAATATGAAATGGTCTCATAGGTGATGTGGCAGAGATATTTTCCCCTCATTCTGCAGGTTTAAGTTCAGTCTGAGACTTTGTAGCACCATTCTCCGAGACTGTAATGATCTATTTGTGCGTCTGCACTGTTCACTCCCTAAAAGTTAGACACAGAGTGATCAAGAATGAGATCATGACAGAAAAGTGTTGAACTCACCATGCTTGCGTGCAAGGTGGCGCAGGATGGCATTGGACTGAACCACCTGCAGAGGACCATCTCTCAGGGCTGGCACTTGACCAAATTGCTGAAATGTAAGAAGTGTTTATTTTAGTGTCTCGGGAGGTGTCCAGAATCTCTCAGCCCTGTCACTAATCAAATCTATCAGTAATCTACTATGTATAACTGACAGTCTCTTAACCTTGTCATTAATGGTTTAGCATCTCTCCTAGAAAAGGAGGCTGATGTTATCCCAGAATCAAAAATTAGCTATGTTCTTGTCTTGCCCCATTCCGTTTGGCTATGCCATTAAGTCTTTATCTCTGTGTCTTCCCCTTGCTCGCTGTCCATCAATGTTCCCAATTGTAACCAAGTTCTCAAGATTATTCTTTCCACATGAGAATTTTGGATCTTTGTTGTGAGGAAAATAAAAGTAGACCCACTGCCCCCACAACTTGTATGTCATATGAGGCGACTAATTTGGTGAATTCTGTGAAATCATAGAACATCTGTTTGACAGGAAAGGAACCAAGTGTGCATACAAATAAGCCAGATCATGCAACATTCATGTTCTGGAACAAGCTCATTGGCAAAATCTGCCCAGCCTTGTAACCAATGTTTTAATCTGCTATAGTACTCCAGATCCTCAAGCAGTCAGTGAGACCCCTTCGATGGTGATGTTCTTTAAATTGAGTGTCCTGTTTTGTCTGAAAATAGTGATTTGTGCATTTCTTTAAAAAATGCTTATTCATGCTGTTGTTTCCTATGGTTTAATCTGTATAGCTAAATCTCTTTCTGCAAGCAGTCGTTCACCTGACAAGTGTACAATACAATCATCATATAGCTTCAGAGATGAACCCAGGAATTTACAAAACACATGTCCTTCTCATAACATGTGTGAAAAACACTGTCTGTGTCTAAGTTGTCTATCAGTTGATGACTGTTGTCTGATTCAAGAAGGACTGCATCATTTATCAGAATATCTCAGCCATGTTACAAATCTCAGAAACGCTTCACTCACCATCTGTGGTTTCCACTCTGTCTGCCAGTTCTCTCTGGTGCATAAAATCTCCTCGTAATCAATGCCATTGTCCTTGAAGAGATACCTCACAGGTTCTCCACGACCTACAACACAGTAACAACGGCATGAGACATGAGATAAAACAACCTAGTTAGAAACATAACAGCATCTACTGAGGAAAAGTCAGTCCGCAACTGTTAGCCCCTGTCCCTGTTTCTAGAAAACAGTGTTCTATTCTGCCAGGGGCAGGCATGACAATCACAGCCCAAGAGGTTACACAGGAACACCAGGGAGGAAGCAGCTACTCCCAGCAGCTCAAAGCCTGGCCAGTATTATAAAGTCTATGTGTTGCCCATACAGCGAGATCTCTCGCTTCTCTCTCTCTCTCTCTCTCTTTCTCTCTTCCTCTCTCTCTCTCCCTCCCTCTCTCTTTCTCTCACCCAGCGCGCGCGCACACACACACACACACTGCTTGCTTTGTTAAATCAAAAAAAAAGGAAATGTCCACAAAGTATATAACTTCAGTGCTATAAAAAGTGTATAAAATACTGCAGATAAGAAATCATATTAAACAGGCTTTTCACAAACATAACAACATAAAAGAGATCTAACTTATGAAACAGTATGTGCTGGAAACTGAATCGCTTTGGCTATATCAACATATAAAGAACAAACAGTCATGAGAGACACAGATCATCATCAAATACAAATACCTGCTTCTTCTTTTGTGTTCACCATTAATAGCACAGTTGGCACATTGTGTTGTGGTTTGCAGCTAGGTTGTGGTATCTGTGCCTTTTGTCCCAACACATAATTTTAGTAATCTAAGTAGACATTGCAAAACAACTGTTGGGGGGAGGGGGGAGGAGGATAGGAGGAGGGAGGAGGATGGGAGGAGGGAGGAGGATGGGAGGAGGGAGGAGGATGGGAGGAGGATGGGAGGAGGATGGGAGGAGGATGGGAGTTGGTTAATTATTGCCCAGCCCAACCAAATGGGCTCTTGCAACCCAAGCAGGCAGAATTGTCATATGCTGGCTAACATCAGGTTTTACAGACACTCTAGGTCTGAGGTGGGAGAACACATGAAGGACTAGAACTCTTTCCTCTAAGTTGTGATGACAAGGATAGTCTTTGCCAAAGACTTGCCACATAATGTTGAGTTGTTTTGCAGCATTTAACCTGGAAGGAAAATCCAACTCCACTTAAGGGGAGGGACCAAGTTGAAATCATAAAATTTGACCATTTTGGGTTTCCATACATAATTCACAATTATCCATAGTAGAAAACAGCTGTGCAAACGGGGTTTAAAAAGGAGTATGTTTTAATAAAAAAAGGATTAATGCCACACATTTTCTAATATATAGCATTTGTTTGGTGTGAGTTAAGAAAGGAAATAAATGAAGGCACCTGGTCAAACAATGTCCTAAATCTAGTAAGAAATTGTCTAAAACAGGTTTTTTCAAGGAATATACATGACAATTGTATAAATCAGGTATGAGCCAAAAACTCTCTGCCACTGTCTTCATGTTGAACCGACTCCAGAACATGTCCTTGAAGCAACATGTGGCCATACCCAGCAGACCTGACAACTCAGCTTTAGGGAACCTAAGAGACATTGAGATGAGATCCCCGTTTATAGCCACAGGGGATGGAGCAGTTGATCAGATATCGTTGGGAGAAGAAAGTACTTCCATATCTGTGTTGTGTACCTCATGATGAGAATGAGTAATCTCTAGGTTACAGAAGTCCTATCAAACTTCACAAATCTGTAACTCAGTAGCCGTTCGGTAAAATTTGTTGAAATTTGGCATGAAACCCGTTAAACAGTTTTTATTTTGCCTTATTTGCAGTACATGAAAAAACAGACACTGATCTAAAGCAAATAATCAGTTGGCAAGCTGACGAACAACCAGGATTTTCTACTGCAGGTTACAGCTGGTGAGTGCAAAGAAGGAGGAGGACAGGTAAAATATTTGTGAGTTCAGTTAGCAAACCTACACATCTACAACCCAGCCATCTACATCTACAACCCAGCCATCGACATCTAAAACCCAGCCATCTACATCCACAACCCAGCCATCTACATCTACAACCCAGGCATCTATATCTACAACTCAGCCATCTACAACCCAGCCATCTACATCTACAAATGAGCCATCTACAACCCAGCCATCTACATCTACAACCCAGGCATCTATATCTACAACTCAGCCATCTACAACCCAGCCATCTACATCTACAACTGAGCCATCTACAACCCAGCCATCCACATCTACAACCGAGCCATCTACATCTACAACCCAGCCATCTACATCCAGCGGTCTAAAACCCAGCCATTTACATCTACAACCTAGCCATCTACAACCCAGCCATCAAAATTTACAACCCAGCCATCTACATCTACAACCCAGCCATCTACATCTACAACCCAGGCATCTACATCTACAACCCAACCATCTACAACCCAGCCATCTACATCTACAACCCAGCCATTTACATCCTCAACCCAGCCATCCACATCTACAACCCAGAGATTTACACCCTCAACCCAGCCATCTACATCTACAACCCAGCCATCTACATCTACAACCCAGCCATCTACATCTACAACCCAGCCATCTACATCTACAACCCAGCCATCTACATCTACAACCCAGCCATCTACATCTACAACCCAGCCATCTACATCTACAACCCAGCCATCTACATCTACAACCCAGCCATCTACATCTACAACCCAGCCATCTACATCTACAACCCAGCCATCTACATCAACAACCCAGCCATCTACAACCCAGCCATCTACAACCCAGCCATCTACATCTACAACCCAGCCATCTACAACCCAGCCATCTACAACCCAGCCATCTACATCTACAACCCAGCCATCTACATCTACAACCCAGCCATCTACATCTACAACCCAGAGATTTACACCCTCAACCCAGCCATCTTTATCTACAACCCAGCCATCTACATCTACAACCCAGCCATCTACATCTACAACCCAGCCATCTACATCTACAACCCAGTCATCTACATCTACAACCCAGCCATCTACATCTACAACCCAGCCATCTACATCTACAACCCAGCCATCTACAACCCAGCCATCTACAACCCAGCCATCTACAACCCAGCCATCTACAACCCAGCCATCTACATCTACAACCCAGCCATCTACAACCCAGCCATCTACATCTACAACCCAGCCATCTACATCTACAACCCAGCCATCTACATCTACAACCAAGAGATTTACACCCTCAACCCAGCCATCTACATCTACAACCCAGGCATCTACATCTACAACCCAACCCTCTACAACCCAGCCATCTACATCTACAACACAGCCATCTACATCTACAACCCAACCATCTACATCTACAACCCAGCCATCTACATCTACAACCCAACCATCTACATCTACAACCCAGCCATCTACATCTACAACCCAGCCATCTACATCTACAACCCAACCATCTACATCTACAACCCAGCCATCTACATCTACAACCAAGCCATCTACAACCCAGCCATCTACATCTACAACCCAGAGATTTACACCCTCAACCCAGCCATCTACATCTACAACCCAGAGATTTACACCCTCAACAAAAGCCATCTACATCTACAACCCAGCCATCTACATCTACAACCCAGCCATCTACATCTACAACCCAGCCATCTACATCTACAACCCAGGCATCTACATCTACAACCCAGGCATCTACATCTACAACCCAGCCATCTACATCTACAACCCAGCCATCTACATCTACAACCCATCCATCTACATCTACAACCCAGCCATCTACATCTACAACCCAGAGATTTACACCCTCAACCCAGCCATCTACATCTACAACCGAGAGATTTACACCCTCAACCCAGCCATCTACATCTACAACCCAGCCATCTACATCTACAACCCAGCCATCTACATCTACAACCCAGCCATCTACATCTACAACCGAGCCATGTTCTGTTTTAAACAACCCTGTACACAAGTGAACTGACACCCTCACCTACACAAAAGACGTTATGTAATTAGACATTAACAGAAATGAGTTTTATCGAACCACAAATCTCTCACCTCTGACAGGGAAGTAGATTAGCTGATACTTTCCCACTGCAAGAGAACAAACATGTGATTATTAATCTTATCTGACTATTCTATTATACAGGTACAGGAAAAAAAAGTATGTCTCCAGTTGTGTGAAAAAGTTGCTATCATTTACCTGAAAACATTAATTAACTCTAGCATTTATTGACTGTTTGTGGTTTTATCAGGCAATTTTTATATTCAGTAGTTTGCCATTGCTTTCTGCATAGACAGGCTCCAGACCATTGTCCAAATCAACGTAAAGTGGCCTGCTGTCAAACCTGCCATTCAGATAACTGAACCAAATATTTCAGAGTTATGACTGCGTTGATGATCTTGGTCCTGATACATGATCACTATCTTTTGATGTTATCCTGAAATTCTATGAGAGCTGCAATAGTGCAATGGTTACGTCCTTGTCTGCCGAAGATTCACAGTTGAAATTTCATTTTGCTGTAGCATGTAGCTCACCCCATGTCTTCCTTATCTTGTTTTAACTTCATTCTCTAGCTCCCTTCCATGTGTTTTCTTGTCTGCCTTTATTTCTATGCCCCTACTGGTTCCAGCATAAAGACATTCTAGTTCTCAGGTTTTCCCAACGTGTATCTGATTAATGCCAGTGTTACTTCTTCTCCTTTTGATTCACTGGAACTTGTTTAGTTCTCTCACAAAGCTCAAAATAAATGGTTCTATCATACCATCAAATGACCTCTATTCTGTTCATTGGTGTGCAACTGCCATGACAGAATTACTGAACCCTGCAGGCAGGTTGTGGTGTATCCAAAAACCATATTGGCCCCATACACTGATCAATATTTAGACTGGTTATTTACAGAGAAGAATTTGGAAGCAACAGAGATATGGTTTCCGAGACTAATGTTACAAATACCTTGGGTGGCCAGAGTAACTAACAACTATTGTTTGCAAGAAGCTAATGAAAGTAAATCTCTATATGCAACAATACGAAAGAGATAAACACTGTTCTCTGGCCCCTTAATGAGAAGAGAGACATTGGAGAACATTGTGACAACTGAAAAGATCAGTGGAAAAAAGGGGTAGAGGAACACTAAGAGAGATTATGCTGGATGGGCTGAAACAATGACATGGAGGAATATCATCAAGAGAGCTGTTCCAGGCAACCAGGGATCGTGATCTGTGGAGACGCATGGACGCCTAAGCCAGTTGGCATGTCGACAACTTCATCGCTGTTTTTTAATCTCTTTACTATGTTCCAAGCACACATTGGGAGCGACAGAGGAAGACGTACAGTCACGCCTGAACAAAGCTAGAGCTGCTTTTGGAAGGATGAGGCAACTCTGGAAATCCAGCAATTACTGCAGAGGAACAAAACTCCGACTCTACAAGAGCATCATTTTGCCAGTTCTTCTTTATGGAGCGGAATGCTGGAGAATGACTAAAAAGGATGCACACAAGCTGTCCACCTTCCACCACACATGTCTACGTAGAATTACCAAAATTTTCTGGCCAGATACAATCTCAAACACTAAACTACTTCAAGCCACAAACCAAGAAACTTTAGACAGTATGATTAACAAGAGAAGATGGAAATGGCTTGGCCACGTTATGAGAATGACTTCTGATTTACCTACCAAAACAGCTCTCACATGGACACCAGAGGGAAAGAGAAAACAGGGGCGCACAAAAACAACATGGAGACGAACGATGGAAAGTGACCTGAATGCGGCATCTTTGACATGGAAAACTGCATTGAAGATTGTACAGGACAGGAAAGCATGGAAAGTCCTCTCTAAAGCCTCATGTGCCACTAGGCACAACGAGAACTGATGCACACATCAGGTTTGTTCTCACTATTTAAATCTGTGTTCTGTTTAACAACTCTGTCAATGATGCCCATTAAAAGTTCCTGACAGGTGGTGGCTAGCCAAATGTTGGACACATCATCCAGTGAGTACTAACTGGTCTATACAAATACAGTATAGACCGATGCCGCAAAATATGAGAGGGCAGTTAACTTACTTTCATTTACAAATAATCTGCCACAACTGAACACATATTGCCTAATGGGTGCACTTTTATATCAAACAGATAGCAGAACATATACTCTCCTGACATACAAACTACTTGCCAATCTGTACTTAAAATCTAAGGCCTAGGAATTCTAACACTACTTCACAGTGTACAAAACATGAATCAAAATGAAGTTATGAGAATCATCTTGGGTTGGACACAAGGTACATCAATCAGAACAATGAGGTAAATGCTTGGGCTGACATCGGTGAAGTCTAGATGGTTACTGGCACAAGCCAAGGCCTACATGCGAGTTACCAATGAAGAAAGATGTTACCAACGATTTTAAAGAAGACCAGTACAAAAGAAGAAATTCATGGATGGTTCTGGCTAAAGACACCATCAGGTGAAAAGGGGGAAGGGGAAAGAGGGGAAGGGGGGGGGGGGGGGGGGCTGACTTGCTTGGGATGACCCATTTTAAGCTCAAAATATTGTGGGGGGGGGAGGGGGGGGGGGGGGGCTAGAGAGAACAGCATAGGAACAGAAAGTACAACAGAAACTACTTACATTTTAGCTGGTGAATGTTAAATATGTATCCACATAATCAACTGAAAATTAGTGAGAACTAAACCAGCATATTCTGCTTGTCCGCCAAGTATATACACAATATTCTTCTTGTACACCCATTATATTAGCAATATTCTTCTTGTCCATTCAGTATATTAGCAAAATTATCCTTGTCTACCTAGTGTATTAGCAATATTATCCTTGTCTACCTAGTATATTAGCAATATTATCCTTGTCTACCTAGTATATTAGCAATATTATCCTTGTCTACCTAGTGTATTAGCAATATTAGCCTTGTCTACCTAGTATATTAGCAATATTATCCTTGTCTACCTAGTGTATTTGCAATATTATCCTTGTCTACCTAGTATATTAGCAATATTATCCTTGTCTACCTAGTATATTAGCAATATTATCCTTGTCTACCTAGTATATTAGCAATATTATCCTTGTCTACCTAGTGTATTAGCAATATTATCCTTGTCTACCTAGTGTATTAGCAATATTATCCTTGTCTACCTAGTGTATTAGCAATATTATCCTTGTCTACCTAGTATATTAGCAATATTATCCTTGTCTACCTAGTATATTAGCAATATTATCCTTGTCTACCTAATGTATTTGCAATATTAGCCTTGTCTACCTAGTGTATTAGCAATATTATCCTTGTCTACCTAGTATATTAGCAATATTATCCTTGTCTACCTAATGTATTTGCAATATTATGTGTTGGTGCAATCGTGAGGATGCAGTTTTTGTGGGGGTTTTCTTTGGGTTTTTTTTTGGGGGGGAGGGGGGACTAGGCTGCAGCACTCTCATAGTACATAAGTGGGTTGGGGTTAGGGTCAGTTGTGTATGTGTTGGGGGTGGTTTCTTTTTTCCTTTTTTGTTGTTGTTTGTTTTTGTTCATGTGAAACTACAATCGGACATTTGCCAATTGGGGTACTTATGGGGAATAGCAAGGGCCAATCATTCTAGATGTATACTGGTTCACACACGAATTGATGATCAGAACAATTAATGTGGCAACTGTTGTTGTAACGGTAACAGCAGAAAAGACAGACTATTGTTCTGGTGGCCAAAATGCAACAATGTCAGCCAGAATGGTCACAAACATATCACGACCTGCATGCTGAGCGCGTCTACGCCACAGAATCTCACACATGTAAGGCTCTAATAAGTGTCTGTGCGTACCATTCTGATGCTTGTTTCTCTGCTTTGCCGACCTCCACATGTGCTCGATACATTGTGTATGTGCACCAGTGCTAGGGTTGACAAAATTTGTGGAGTGATTGACGGTGAGATGTGTCAATCCAGGAATATTCTCAATTCCACTGTATACACGCCACAGGTCAGAGACTACTGTCATGACAGGTCTTATGTTTGTACTAATAATTGACAGAAGCGTCTCTGCTTTTCTGTCTGGAATACAGAACATAAAGAATTTGCTGAATTTGTGACATACACCACCAAAGACCCACTGTTGTGGAAACACTCGTCCCACATTATTTTTGCGCCTTGCAAACAGACTTTCATTAATTTCAGCAGTAGTGTTCTCTCCGCCGATCACTGCATCAAGCACAGATACTGCTAATTCGAGATAATTTGTGGTGATGAAGACTGAACACACAAGTCATCGCTGGAGAGATGACGCTGCAACACAAGTTGCTGCAGATTTGCAAGAAATGCACCAAAACCTTGGCAACACTTTAAAAGACACATAGACAGCGGAAAGCCTACTCCTACCACCCTCGAAAATATTGGACTGTCCCGTGACATCAAATCTGGTTAATTGTTGGGAATGTAACCAGTATTCGTCTTGTCCACCCAGTATATTAGCAATATTCTTCTTGTCCAAACAGTATATTAGAAGTATTCTAATTGTCCACCCAGTAAATTAGAATTATTATAATTGTCCACCCAGTATATTTGCAATATTATGTGTCCACCCAGCATATTTGCAATATTCTTCTTGTCCACCCAGCATATTTGCAATATTTTTCTTGTCCACCCAGGATATCTGCAGTACTCTTCTTGTCCACCCAGTATATCTGCAGTATTCTTCTTGTCTAACCAGGATATCTGCAGTATTCTTCTTGTCCACCCAGGATATCTGCAGTACTCTTCT